TGCCCGAACCCGGGTATCGTTCTCCGGCACTCAGTCTTAACGCGGCCTAATTGCTCTCGTGTAATTGCTTCGTTTAAGGTTTTATCTTACTGTGTGATTGGTTTGACCGATTTCGACTGATAGCCAACTGAGGTAACATTGTCATGCTTACTGTCTGAATTAGTGTTGCCAAATCGTGAACACAGTTCACAGATTTGTGAACATTTTGCTCTCTTCATGAACATTTCATGAATGTTAAATTTTGTAAACTTTTTGTGAACTTTTCTAAATATTACGTATTTTTGTCTTTTCATCATTTTCATAAAATGGTTTGAACCCGGGAGTATCGTTACATATTTGTAAATGTAGATCGTCCAGGCTGGTATAGTCCTGAGAACGACTGTTTTTGTTGTTGTTGACTGACGTTTCGACAACCTTAGCGGTACTCATCTTTAGAGACAAAAAAAAAACATGTAAAGAATGTATAGATAAATCATAGTTCAATGAAAAATCTTCATAGCTCGACAGTTCTTTCAAAACAACGACGATTTTAAGATAATCCAATGTTTTCCGAAAACTTCCGAGGGTTTTCAAATATTTCCGAGGTTTTCCGAAAATGTCCAAGTTAATCCGTTCACTTCCGATCTTATAAATTAGATGTAATATGAACTTTTTGCCATTTTGTGAACTTTTGACGCAAGCGAGCGTGAATTTTTAATCTTTGGCAGAAAAAAATTTTGAATTTTTTCTCAAAAGGTGAATTTTCTGCCACTGTAAGTGGAAATGGGTTAAGGGTTCAATAAACTTGCATGGTTTGAAGTCTGAGCTTTTTTACATTCATGGACTGACCCTTGTAGTACCTCACTCCTAACTTAAATCATTACATAGAGGTGTGAATGGGGGTTACTAGGGGGGCCTATAGTTAAAAACTGTTGCGTAGGAGACTAAGGAGAGCTCATCATAGTTCATCATATTTTTATAATCCTAAATAACAACTGCTTTCCTAGGAACGTAATTTATCAGAGCATGCATGTAGAAATATTGACACCCCCCCTATTTAACTGTCGAACTGGTTACGCCATCCACTCTTCAAAATTTATCATTCTTGTTAGTAGTTTTTGTCTTTTTTCAATCTGTAGAAATCCTGATCCAAAATGTCCTGAAGATAAAGAAAATTTGACCAAGGAAAACGTAGGTGAAAATATTGCAAAGATTTGACAGAAAATTCAATTACAGTTTTGTTGCTATCGATCATTAGCGTAGCCATCCCGCAAGTTTAGTCCTGCTTTGTAAATGTAAGTACATAATATTTTCCATATTACAGGGCATGTCAGTTAATGAGCAAAGAAAAATTAGCATAGCACGACTAAATAAGCATGTTGCCTTAACAACTATAATTATAATTACTCTTTGAGTTCTAAAAAATTATACATCGATTTACGCATATTGTCATGTCTTGTGACATAGAAAATCCTTTTGCAACTTGGGTTATCAAAGCAACGTACAAACGTTCTCAATATGTTGACTCAACATGCGCAAAAACATTGTTTTGTTTTTGATGAGTGATGCTAAGCGATGTGTCCAAGCACTCTCAACATGATGAGTCTTGAAATGATCGCGTAGGATCATGAGATAAAATACTCCACCTTTCCAAACAACAGGTACATAAACGGTTCAGTGACCAGATAAATTACCACAATATAAGCTGCACAGGTAGTGTGCATGCTTTCGCTCAACATGTTGAGTGTGCTGTTTTAAAAACCAGAAGTTTCATTGCACTATAAACAAAGTTGAGGTGCGGTTTGGTGACCATAGAACAAAGCAATTGTTGAGTGCTGTTGAGTGGAAATTTTGAGCAAGTTTAAACTTCACTCAACAACGCTCAACCCCGCTTAATAGCTACTATTCAACTCTCCTAAACACGGTGTTGAACATGTTGAGCTCGTTGTTGAGTCTACATGTTGAGAGCCTTTGCACTTAGCGTTAGTGTGTCGGTGAATTCTACTTCAAAAAAGTTTGCCAACAGTTCTTGTAAGAAATTTACGTTACTGTTTCATTTAACGTCTAGTGCAAACTTGCATTTGAGTAAAGTGAAGTGACTCTGTCTTTTGCTACATTTAATCTTGTTTCATAAAAGATCAATTTCCATGATGCATCTAGGTTTTCCGGGATGCTTTCACGAAGCATGATTTAAAAAGGATTCAATTACACTGTCCATCTGAAGAGTGTAAATGGTTTGGTACACACGAAGAATTAGAGGTGAGTTGGGCACTGAAATTTATCAAAAAATTGTGGCATTTTCACTTATAAAGGGATACACCGAATCTAAGGGATTAGGTACAACATCTTCCAAAATTTCGTGCTCGTCTACGCCTTTCGTAACGCTTAACAGAGCACGCAATATTGACAACGTTTCTTCTTGCTTATTAATTAATGTTTCCAGTTTGGTGAGAACTGATCTTTGGAAGCCTACAAAATAGATAAGAAAATAATAGAATAACTTACGTATAACCTACGTAATATCTTAAAAATATAAAACCTTATAACATGCTAACAAGAAAATTCAAATAAAAATCGCATCAAATTGCTAATTGAATACACATACATAGTAACAACGCTTTTCAAAAACTATATACTGTAGAAAAGGTACCATTAATGTTTGGTTGAGAACGTCTTCCTGCAGGTGTTATGTTCATAAAACTTGTCGAAGGCGTTTCGTGCGATGTAAGGTCATACGCATCTGCAAAGCAATCACGTGATGCAATTAGTTGTGAAGAAAAAAAACATTTCAAACGACACGAAATGAACGTAAATGAAAACGTAACAACAAGACATGCAATAATGAATTGTAAGAAAAGCTTGCCTAAGACACCACTGTTTCGTTGAGAATGTCTTTCTCTTATTGTGTCAGTTGTAGGAATTCCTTGTGAAGAGACGTTGCTTATATCTACAGAGAAGACACGTACTGGGTTTAACATATATCTTTATTGAACGCACGAACGTCATTTAAATTAAGGTACTACAAGTTTCAAAAATCAGAAACAGAAAGGTGACTAAAATAAAAATCTCGAGAAAGTTTCATTTGGTAGTTTGATAGCAAACGCTGAGAATTAGATTTGAACGAACGTATTTTGATTAAATCATGGTGAATACAACTGCAATTTTAACTATAACTAACATTTTTTCAACTAATTACAACATTTTAAAGGACCAACGCCTACAGCACCTGTAGAACATTCATAAGCCCTATAATACAACGATGGACGTAGAAAAACAGTAAATGTACAATACGAATGTTAAAGTTATTTAAAAAGAATCAATCAAAATTATTTCAACATTTTAGTCGACATATTATATGAAAGTTGCTGATTAGTCAGTTCTGATGACAGAAAACTTACCACTACGCTGAGATGGTGTCCTACTAGTAGATGGGGAAGTTATTGCATGATCCTTTGTGTTTAGGATTTCTGGTGCTAGTTCACCGTCATATAAATCTAGATCAACATTATATTTGTATGAAAAGAGAAATTTTATACATGCATGTTTCTGTAAAAAATTGTCCACTTGTACAAGGATTATAATAGCGCTTATACCTTTTTCTGCAAGGGAGATCAGTTCGCTGTACACCGGCAAATCTAAAAAGGAAAATCACTCATTAGATTTAAATGCAACGTAGCAATATGTGAAAAACTGCACTCCTTTGAATAAAGCAATGGCCTATTGCATTGCAACTACAGTACTTACTTCTAGAATTTGTTGATAAGATTTCATTGACGACTGAAAGAAATTTTGCCTGTATACAAAAGAAACTGTCTGAATTCTGTAGCTTTCCATCTGTCAACCTCCATTAAACTCTTAGGTTTTCACACAAATGTAGAAGGGATAAATGGTTTAAGCTCCACCAATTTTTTACTAACAGCCTCTACATAGGCAACAGACATTTTAACAGCGTGATTTCACCTCATCCAAACCATAATCAATTTACGAATAACACGCAGACACAGTTGATGCATGTAGTCAATTGGAAATTGTTTAACCATATCAACAAGCAAATGACAGAAAGGGCTAAAAAAGCGTTTATTTACATCTTGTATCTGCTTTCTAAAGGAAGTATTAGTGCACAATTCTATACTATTATTTTGAGAGTAAGTCACTTGACCAAGCCACTTCCCTTTTTGTGTACACTTGTCACAACCACAATAACCAGTACAAAATTTTGTACCTTTAACAAGTGCTCTTGCAGGAGCATCACAAACAATGCCCCTTACTGTAACAGTTAGAACCTTTTCCCCATCTTGGACTCCCCTCTCTACAATACCCTTCAAATCTTCTATAAACTCATCCCAAAACTCCAAGTTTTTTGGCTTGGAGTCACAGCATGTTAAGACAATAGGAAACACTACAACAGGTTTGATATTCAAAATGGCACACAACACTGGCCATACATTTTTTGCAGAACTTTTAAACAAAGGAAGCACATCAACATTTAAAGAGATTTCAAGATGCTTGTGAAAGTGCTCTAACAATAATCACATAACCCCATGTTAAAAAATATTAATCATCAACGCTTATCAGTCAGTCAGTTAATATAATTCCAGATATGCAAAAACGTGATATTTACGTAAGATTTCAGCTATAAAACAGAATTTTGACAATAAAATTTATACGATTATACATCGGGAATTCAATAATCACAAAAAATTGTAATTATTAAATTTGATAAGTAATTTTTGAACTATAAACATCAGTCGCGTGACTGATTTGACATACCCTAGATCCGCCCCCGCATGTTATGACAATAACAACCATACGTATTGATGAATACCTTATCCAAATGCTGTAACAAGGTGTAGTGATAATATTATCTTTATAAAATAAAAATAGAAATTAAAACTAAGTAGAAACTAAGCTTAGTAAATTTGTTTGTTCCTGCACCAATATACCCGGACTCATAAAGTCACGACAAAAGTAACATACGACGATCTCTGGATTATAAAGAATGATAAAATAAAGGTACTTACCACAGTTTTTACGCATTGAAACATATTCTAGATCATAACTTCCTCTAAACTTGGAAAGCGAGCTGTGCATTATCTTGTCTTGACAACAATGAGGCAAATTCGATTCTTGCACGAACGATTTTCAAATGAACATGAACGCCGATATTTTACAGGTATCGAAATCATTTTGATGTCACATTGATTTAAATAACTTTATTTATCCATAACAGATATTTGAGATAAGTAAAACGTCGCCAAATGTCTTAAATATTCGAAAATCCTTGTTTGTAAACGTTACCCGCCAAACACTTCCACAGTAATTTGTATCTCTTGTGGGTAACCGGAAGTGCATTTTGCTTATATAATTAGGCTTCACATTTAAAAACAAAAGCTCAAAATAATTCGCGATTTCGCTGCCAAGCAAGAAACCCGATGTAGTGCTCATCGCAGAAACATAGCTTACATGATACTTGTAATCTTGAGATATCTGAGTACAACATTGTTTATAAAAACAGAGCTTTTGGACCACATGGAGGTGGTGTATATGTCTATATATAAAAAAATTCTATTCAGTTCACAGTTCTTGACTAATTTAGTTCGACCACGTTTGAGGCTCTTTGGGTTAAAATTATGCCAATCAACTATTTATAAACTAATTAGTGAATTCAATTACAGCAATGGACATTATTATATTCTTGGTGTGAAGTCGTTTTGAATTGTGCTTTTAATAAACTTAACTTTTGCCATCTTACGGATCAATTCTGACTACCAGAAACTGCTTGAAATAAACCAAAATGATACAACCAAACATCGGACATGATCTTAACAAATTTTTATAGTTTCTACAATAAGAATTCTATATCAACTTTCCTTCATTTAATTTATCAGAATATAATGTAATGTTATCTTATCAAGGCGTGAGATTTACTTTTCCCAACATTTAAGCCAACGAACGTCTATTTTGTCTTATTCAACTTAAACAAGCAAATGAAACAAAAGTTCCACAATCTGATATTGTGAATTTTCATGTATAAGACCAACTCTTAATTATGGAGCTAAGGTTTTTTTTAACAAACTCCCAAAATATACCAAAGAAACGGTAATAAAATTTAAACATGTTAATGAAACAACAAAAATCATAAGGCCGTATCTTTGCTTTACATAACAATTAACTTTTAATGTTTTAAATTCAGTTGCACAAAAGAATTTGCTACGTATCAACTTCACGGACGAAGCCATTTGACGCTTAACTTATCAGAACGTTTAGAGATCTGAAAGATCGAATGTTCAAAGCGTCAACCTTCGACCAGTAAAAGGTTTGTAAGACAAAACACAAAGAATTATCGTGAGTGTAAACGATGTATAAGTGAGATCTTAAATGAAAGTTGTTCGTCAAATATAATTAATACAATTTTAATACATATTAGTCTCAACCTAGTACAATAAGATATACATCATAGATACCCGTAGCAACTTGTGATCCTGTAGTTGTACACCAATTAAACAAAGTTACAAATACAAACAATTTGCTTACCGAAAAATCACTGTCATCTAAACGAAGGCGTGTTTGTCGTGATGTGTTGCTTGCTAAGGAATTCAAATTGCTTGCTAGCATGCAATTATATTTATCTTTGGGCCCGGATAGTATATTTATAAAATATGTGTAATTTCATTATACTTGTGATAGTATGAAATGACATTTATGAATCAGGAAGAAAATTTAGTTTGAAATTGCAAATGAATCATGCATGTAATCATTGAATAGTTTAGATATTTAAGTCGTATTTGAAGTATAAATATTGATCAGGAAGTGTGTTATCTTTGTGATAAACTAATTTGTAAGTCCACATATTAAATGCGGCTAAAAAATTTGCTAATCTTTTTAACGTTACAATTGTCTTTCGTCAAGCTTTGGTTGCGAAGGTTCATGTATGCAAATTCATCGCATTATAGTTACAATAAATTTAAAAACAGAAATGAGTATTGCAACTTATTAATTCTTTTTAACACTTCCATTTCATGGTAATTTTTCCAAAATATCTTAAAAACGGTATAATTTAGTAAAATTTATACTTATATCTATCGATCAATTTTTTCCAACTTATATTCAAACTTATGAACAAAAACAATAAAAATCATAAAACCATATCTTTGCTTTACATAACAATCTATTCTTAAGATGTTTTAAATTCCGTAGCACAAAATAATTTTCCACATATCGACTCGAAGGAAGAAGATATGATGCTTAAGCTGTCAGAACTCTAAATCTTTCTAAAAGTTCAACTGTTCAAGGCTACACGCCGTTAACCAGTAAAAGGTTTTTAAGACAAAAAACAAATAATTTCCATGCTTGACTGCGACGTATAAATGTGACCTATGGAAGTTTGTAAATTCTGTTGTTGTAGATAAATCAAACGAAGTTACAATTCCAAACAAGAACAATATGCTTACCAAAAACAAATCACTGCCATCTTAAACAAGGTAAGGCTTTTTTTAAAGTATATTTAATTATTTATGACTCACCACGAAGTACATTTACTTTAAAATCGCAAATGACTCATGCATGTCATCATTGAATACTTTAGATAGTTAAGTCGTTTTAGAAGTAGATATATTGATCAGCAAGTGTGTTTATCTTTGTCGTAAACTATAGTATCGCTTGTTCAATTTTGTAAGTGCACATTTTAAATGGGGCTAAAGAATTTTGCTAATCTTTGTGACGTTGCAATTGTCTTTCGTCGATGCTAAGTTGTTGACGCTAAGGTTGATATGTGCAAATTTACCGCATTAAATAATACAATACTGAAGACCTCTGATTTCCTATCAACTTGATAACCTTATAAGTACTGCTAGGCAATCAAACATTTCTGCACATCTGTGTAAAAGGAAGCATACATATGTGACGTCATTCGTGTCACGTGTCCTAAGATATGAATATTACAACTTATTAATTCCTTTTAACACTCCCACTTAATAGTCATATTAACAAAACTAACAAATCTTCATGATACAAACTTAAAACTTATCATCGCTCTTTGAATTTAACTACTCCCAATAGCTTTGTAAAGTTTTGATATTAAACTTTTCAGAGTCTTTTGGTAATTACATCACCAAACATGTCTTCCGTTTGGCAACACGTGAAAGAAATGATGTTATTTTTGACGTGTTGTCACATATAGTGATACGACACATCTACAGTGGGTGACTAAAAAAAAGTGTCCCCGTAATGAAGTATGAGTTTTGTTTATAAAATTCAGGAAATCAAAAACTGTTCAGAAATAATCGTAATACAAACAACATTTCTAGTTATCTACAATACTTAAGCAGTAATTTACAAAAAACTGTGCATGTGCAGAAAAGTCGACAGTCCTGCAACACTGAAATAATTAGTCATGTTTATATATTGCAACAAAAATCAACACAAACATGAAGCAATTTTTAAAAACAACGCAACGTATAAATGAAAATAAAGAATTTGAATTGTCAAGATTGACAAACAAGACGCCGTCTGCAGATATATCAGAATAAAAAAGGCGAAGGGATCGCAAAATTCGATACATGCTAAATGCTGGAGTCAGTGTTTATGATTAGGAAGTTGCGCAGAAGTTTCTACTCAGTTACTGTGAAGTAAAATACTGAGTTCAAAGTTAAGATTAACTTGCGATTGTAATCACACCTCCGAGTTGTAGAAAAAAACAACAGACCACTGAGAGAAGGAATATCTTCATTGCTAAAACCTCAAAGTTATTAACCCTATCAAATATTTCTTTTAAATCTTATAGTTCCAGATTTTAAATGCACGCTTTAGATAATCTTTGTAGCTTTGCAAATGTCTTTTTTTGATGCTAAGGTTTATTTATGCAAAGTTTCGTCGTATTAAATAGTTAAAAACTGAAATTCTCTGATTTATTCATCAATCTGATATTGAATATTTTTATAACTTCATCAATACAGTTAGGCAATCAAATATTTCTGGACATCACGTAATACATCAGTGAAAACAATAACTGTGCATCAGCCGTTTCTTACGTCACGTCTGGCTTTCAAGACAAAGACAAAAGCTTGATTTTTTTATGTCCTCTGAATGCCGGCTCTTTTTTAAACAAATAAAAGACAATGTTGTGAATATTTGTCTCCTTTTTTCTGCCATTTATCCTCGTTATGACGTTTCACAACCTCTCTTCTTGTCTTTCAAAATATAACTTCTTTCTTAACATCCTTGTCCAACGTTGCAAAATGATGCTTTTTTATACATAGCTAATGCTATTCGCAACAGCACACGATCACAAAAAACAATCTTTAATTTCTCCCTTATCAAAACTGCTAGAATCTGCTATCTCTTAGTTTTCTTTTCAAGCGGTGCGTACCATAGAAATGGGTGATAAATTACGAACATTCTGCTCTGTAGTATTCTGCAAACTAAAAGTTCCTTGTAAAAGCTCAGAAAATTTACATCTGAAAACTTTAATCGTATTTATAGATGCACGTTCTAAAAAAGTCACGCACGACCAAAAGGCAATGTTCAACATTCGAGTTTACGTAAATGATCCCCTCAAAACGCGTTATTTTAACATTATAGATTAAATATTCTCATTTCATATTAAAATTTATTAAAAATAGTCAATTATTTGCTTCAGGTTTTTGCTTAATATTATAGTGGTTCATGGTCTTAAAATTGATAAAGAATTTTACCATTGCCGATCAATTCTCGTATATAGCCAAAGAAAAACAAGATCTTGTGTTACAACATGTTGTGAAACAAATATATTTATAAAATCAAGTTTGAACATTAGAAAAAGGCCATTAGCTCCAACATAGTAACATATTCTTAGATACAAATGCATGACATTCACAAATAACTATGCAAATATTGAAATATATATTCTTATGTCTGTTTTGTAACGTAAAATATCATGTTTTTTTAATTTTTCTAAAGTTTATTTGACAGGATACTGCTGTTGGTAAAAGCTGTAGCATACATGCTCTTCCTCATTATTAGTTTTCAGGTTCTTTTGTAATTTTAGTACGTTTTTGGTGAAGTTAAAACAATTAAAAAATAAGTTTCATTTCGTCAACATGTAAATTTGGACTTCAATGGAAACTGATAAGGGTTGTATCGAATTTTTTGAATTGCTTGATTTTTATCTTGTTGATATATACCAAAATTTTTGTACAGATGGAATCGTCAGGAATAAGAAATCTGTCGTACATTCAGCAATTAATTAAGGTGGTACAAAAGGAACTTGCTCAGTTTTTCATTCAAAAATGGAACTCTCGTTACAAGTCGACTGATGGAGAATGGGATGATACACACAACAGTGGTAACAAATTTTACACTTTAGAATCAGGAAGAAAAATAGACCAAAAAACACAACAAAAATATCAGGATGGAGACACCAGTAAGTGGGACTGTGTGATATTATTTGATGCAATAATTTTTTCAAATTCAATTGGAAAGCATCTGGACAAAAAAACAAAGGATGCTGTTCATGCACTTCGTTGTGAAAGAAACAAATACTCACATTGGTATGAAAGGGAATGCTCAGATGATGATTTTGATGATGTAGTCAATATCATTGAAAAATCATTTCAAGATTTGAAATTTTCTCTCGATGAAATCATTGAAATAAAAAATCATCGAAACTGTTCTAATTCATTCCAAGTTCTTCCTTCAAAACCTAATCATTTTTTCGTTGAACGCACTGAGTTACGAGATAAATTTATAAAAGATCTTAAAAAATTAAGGAATGATAACAATGATAAACTGACATATTTTTACATCACTGGTAATCCTGGCAGTGGTAAATCTCAATTTGCCAGACAGGTTTGTGAAAAAATATCGTGTGATTGGAAAAATAAAACTTCGTTTGTAATGACTCTCGATGGAAAAAATGAACAAACTCTATTAAAATCTTACTGTGAACTTGGATACCGTTTAAACTGTGACAAGTATATGATTAAAAAATTTAAAGATGAAAACTGTTCCATCGCAGACAAAGTGAAGAATTTGCGATCGTTAGTATCCACACGAATAAAATTCTGGCAAAATTTGTTGATCATTGTAGGCAACGTGGTACAGCTCAGCAAAATTTCTTCATTACTTCCCCAAGTTGGTGATCCCATGTGGATAAATGGACAAATTATCGTAACTATCCAGAAAACAGATGCCGTACCTCAAGATGATGAGTTTAACAAACATATTTCTATCAGAAGTGGAATGAATGATAAAGAATGTTTAAAACTGTTGAAGCATTACACTAAAGATGAAAACGCTGATGATCAAATGTTGAATGAAGTATCGCACGCATTAGATCGTCAACCGCTGGCTTTGGTTGCTGCTGGTTATTATGTCAATCAAGTAAAAAAAGCCAACCGTTCATTTACTTGGAGTCAATATTTTGAGAAAATATCTTTTGAAGAACAAGAAAATGTGGACGCCACCTTTAATAAATTTAACACAGTATATCGTACAAGCATCTTACAAGCTTCACTTTTAGCTGTCAGACAAAATGCTGAAGAATCCTCAATATTGGCAAATGTTATTAACTTTTTTTCTGTAATATCGTTTGATCCTATACCACGAGACATTATTGTTTTCTATGTTCAAGAAATTGATCCGAAACACTCAAAGGAAGATATATGTTCTTGTTTAAAGGACTGCTCATTGTTCTTGCATTCACAAAATAATGACATTAGTCTACATCGCATTTTTCACGAAGCAATTAGTGTTTATCAGTCTCAACACTTAAATAAACAATGCAAGATAGAGCAAAGTTGCAATTTGCCTTTTTTTCAATCAAACGTTGACCAAATATTTCAAGCACTTTACATGTTTAAAGAGAGAGACGACGAAAGCAAATTGATGCCACATCTTGAAAAAATTCTTCAATTGTTAAGGACCAAGAAGATAAAAATCGACATGAATACTTTACAAGTTTTCAAATATTTTGTTGACAGATTAAGACATTTTGGAAAATACGATCTTGCTCTTGAACTATTGGATAAATTTAAATCAGAAGAATCTAGTAATGACAAAGCTTGGTATTTTAACATCCTCGGTCTTTTATACCATGACACCGGGAAGTATAGCAAAGCTAAAAATCATAATGAAAAGACTCTGGAAATTCAAAAACAATTATTAGGTCCGAATCATGTTGATATTGCTATGTCTTTAAACAATCTAGGTATGGTTTATCGTGAAACTGGAAACTACGACAAAGCTAAAGAGGTTCACGAAAAAGCTCTAGAAATTCGAAAACAATCATTAAGTCCAAATCTTGTTGATGTCGCTGCGTCTTTAAACAATCTTGGTTTGGTGTATTGGGAAACTGGAAACTACGACAAAGCTATAGAGTTTTACGAAAAAGCTCTGGAAATTCTAAGACAGTCGTTAGGTCCAAATCATGTTAATGTTGCTCAGTCTTTAAACAATCTTGGTTTGGCGTTTAATAAAACTGGAAACTACGACAAAGCCATGGAGTTTTACGAAAAAGCTCTGGAAATTCAAGAACAATCGTTAGGTCCAAATCATGTTGATGTTGCTCAGTCTTTAAACAATCTTGGTATTGTACTTGGAAAAACTGGAAACTACGACAAAGCTGTAGAGGTTCACGAAAAAGCTCTGGAAATTCGAGAAAAATCGTTAGGTCCAAATCATGTTGCTGTTTCTCAGTCTTTAAACAATCTTGGTTTGGTGTTTAATAAAACTGGAAACTATGACAAAGCTATACAGTTTTACGAAAAAGCTTGGGAAATTCAAGAACAATCGTTAGGTCCAAATCATGTTAATGTTGCTAGGTCTTTAAACAATCTTGGTGCTGTGTTTTTTAAAACTGCAAATTACGAAAAAGCTATAGAGTTTTACGAAAAAGCTCTGGAAATTCGAGAAAAATTGCTAGGTCCAAATCATGTTGATTTTGTTCAGTCTTTAAACAATCTTGGTTGGGTGTATTACAAAACTGAAATTTACGAAAAAGCTATAGAGGTTCACGAAAAAGCTCTGGAAATTCGAAAACAATCGTTAGGTCCAAATCATGTTGATGTTGCTCAGTCTTTAAACAATCTTGGTTCGGTGTTTAATAAAACTGGAAACTTCGACAAAGCCATAGAGTTTCACAATAAAGCTCTGGAAATAAAAAAACAATCGTTAGGTCAAAATCATGTTGATGTTGCTGCGTCTTTAAACAATCTTGGTTTGGTGTATTGGGAAACTGGAAACTACGACAAAGCTAAAGAGTTTTACGAAAAAGCTCTGGAAATTCTAAAACAATCATTAGGTCCAAATCATGTTGATGTTGCTCAGTCTTTAAACAATCTTGGTATTGTGCTTGGAAAAATTTTAAGCTACGACAAAGCTATAGAGTTTTACGAAAAAGCTCTAGAAATTCTAAGACAGTCGTTAGGCCCAAATCATGTTGATGTTGCTCAGTCTTTAAACAATCTTGGTTTGGTGTTTAATAAAACTGGAAACTATGACAAAGCTATGGAGTTTTACCAAAAAGCTCTGGAAATTCAAGAAGAATCGTTAGGTCCAAATCATGTTGATGTTGCTCAGTCTTTAAACAATCTTGGTATTGTACTTGGAAAAACTGGAAACTACGACAAAGCTGTAGAGGTTCACGAAAAAGCGCTGGAAATTCGAGAACAATCGTTAGGTCCAAATCATGTTGATGTTTCTCAGTCTTTAAACAATCTTGGTTTGGTGTTTAATAAAACTGGAAACTATGACAAAGCTATACAATTTTACGAGAAAGCTTGGGAAATTCAAAAACAATCGTTAGGTCCAAATCATGTTAATGTTGCTAGGTCTTTAAACAATCTTGGTGCTGTGTTTTTTAAAACTGGAAATTACGAAAAAGCTATAGAGTTTTATGAAAAAGCCCTGGAAATTCGAGAACAATTGCTAGGTCCAAGTCATGTTGATTTTGCTCAGTCTTTAAACAATCTAGGTTGGGTGTATTACAAAACAGGAATTTACGAAAAAGCTATAGAGTTTCACGAAAAAGCTCTGGAAATTCGAAAACAATCGTTAGGTCAAAATCATGTTGATGTTGCTCAGTCTTTAAACAATCTTGGTTTGGTGTTTAATAAAACTGGAAACTTTGACAAAGCCATAGAGTTTCACAACAAAGCTCTAGAAATAAAAAAACAATCGTTAGGTCCAAATGATGTTCATGTTGCTGCGTCTTTAAACAATCTCGGAACTGTGCTTAAAAAAACTGGAAACTACGAGGAAGCTAAAGAGGTTCACAAAAAAGCTCTAAAAATTCGAAAACAATCGTTAGGTCCAAATCATATTTATGTTGCTCAGTCTTTAAACAATCTAGGTTTGGTGTATTATGAAGCTGGACAATACGATAAAGCTAAAGAGGTTCACGGAAAAGCTCTGGAAATTCGAAAACAATCGTTAGGTTCAAATCATGTTAGAGTCGCTGCGTCTTTACGCAATCTTGGTGTGGTGTTTGAAAAAACTGGAAAGTACGACAAAGCTATAGAGGTTCACGAAAAGGCTCTGGAAATTCGAAAACGATCGTTAGGCTTTAAACATGTTGATGTTGCTCAGTCTTTAAACAATCTTGGTATTGTGTATTATGATACTGGAAAGTACGACAAAGCTATAGAGTTTTACGAAAAAGTTCTGGAAATTAGAGAACAATCGTTAGGTCCAAATCATGTTGATGTTGCTCAGTCTTTAAACAATCTTGGTTTGGTGTATTATGAAACTGGATACTACGAAAAAGCTATAGAGGTTCACGAAAAAGCTCTCGAAATTCGAAAACGATTGTTAGGTCCAAATCATGTTGATGTAGCTGCGTCTTTAAGCAATCTTGGTTTGGTGTTTAATAAAACTGGAAACTACGGCAAAGCTAAAGAGGTTCACGAAAAAGCTCTGGAAATTCAAAAAAAATCGTTAGGTCCAAATCATGTTGATGTCGCTATGTCTTTCAATAATCTTGGTTTGGTGTATTATGAAACTGGAAACTACGACAAAACCATAGAGTTTTTCGAAAAAGCTCTGGAAATTCGAGAACAATCGTTAGGTCCAAATCATGTTGATGTTGCTCAGTCTTTAAACATACTTGGTTTTATCTATTATGAAGCTGCAAACTACAACAAAGCCATAGAGTTTTACGAAAAAGCTCTAGAAATTCGAAAACGATCGTTAGGCTTTAATCATGTTGATATTGCTCAGTCTTTAAACAATATTGGTTTGGTGTATTATGAAACTGGAAACTACAAAAAAGCCATAGAGTTTTACGAACAAGCTCTGGAAATTCGAAAACAATTGTTAAGCTTTAATCATGTTGATGTCGCCGCGTCTTTAAACAATCTTGGTGTGGTGTTTGAAAAAACTGGAGACTACGACAAAGCTAAAGAAGTTCACGAAAAAGCTCTGGAAATTCGAAAACAATCGTTAGGTACAAATCATTTTGAGGTTTCTCAGTCTCTAAACAATCTTGGTTTGGTGTATTACAAAACTGGAAACTACGACAAAGCCATAGAGTTTTACCAAAAAGCTCTGGAAATTCGAAAACGATCGTTAGGCTTTAAACATGTTGATGTTGCTCAGTCTTTCAACAATCTTGGTTTTATGTATTATGAAACGGGAAACTACGACAAAGCCATAGAATTTTACAAAAAAGCTCTGGAAATTCAAAAACAATCGTTAGGCTTTAATCATGTTTTTGTTGCTGCGTCTTTATACAATCTTGGTGTGGTGTTTGAAAAAACTGGAAACTACGACAAAGCTAAAGATGTTCACGAAAAAGCTCTGGAAATTCGAGAACAATTGTTAGGTCCAAATCATATTGATGTTGCTCAGTCTTTAATCAATCTTGGTTTGGTGTATTATGAAAAGGGAAACTACGACAAAGCCATAGAGTTTTACAAGAAAGCTCTGGAAATTCAAAAACGATCGTTAGGCTTTAATCATGTTGATGTCGCTGCGTCTTTATACAATCTTGGTGTGGTGTTTGAAAAAACTGGAAACTACGACAAAGCTAAAGAAGTTCAAGAAAAAGCTCTGGAAATTCGGGAACAATCGTTAGGTCCACATCATGTTGATTTTGCTCAGTCTTTAAACAATCTTGGTTTGGTGTATTATAAAACTGGAAAATACAACAAAGCCATAGAGTTACACAAAAAGGCTCTGGAAATTCGAGAACAAGCTTTAGGTCCAAATCAAGTTGATGTCGCTGCGTCTTTAAACAATCTTGGTACTGTTTTTTTTTACTCTGAATGTGACTACCGCTAAATTTTTCGAAACGTTAGTCAGCAACAACAAAAACAGTCCTTCTGAGGACTATACTATAGTGGTCCATAGCTGTCATCAGTATTTTCCGTGTGTCAATTTAATTTTTAGTTATAGCTTCATTTCAAAAAGAAATTTCACATGAAACTTTACTTTACAATGTAAATTTATAATTAATTTCATTATATAAGTACGTATTTTATTTATTTTCATTCTAAAAGCGTAAATGAAATTTAAAATTTTCAAATGAGCACGAACGCCAAAATTATACAGCTATCGAGAGCATTTCGATGTCAAATTGTTTTATAAAACTTGTTTTATCCATTACGGATATTTGAGATTAGTAAAAGATCGTGAAATGCCTTGAATACTCGAAAACCATGCTTGTCATTTGTTGTATCTCCTGTGGTACCCGAAAATGAATTTTTACATATATAATTCGCCTTTACTTTTTTGCTAACTATAGAAACTATATCCTGACTATTATAAAATCAATGGTAATAGCGCTGGGCCAAGGGTGGGAAAGTGCTTTTTAAGTTTCATTTACGCTTTTAGAATGAAAATAACTAAAATACTTATTTATATAATGAAATTAATATTAAATTTACATTGTAAAGTAAAGTTTTATGTGAAATTTGTTTTTGAAATGAAAATACAACTGAAAATAAAATTGACACACGGAAAATAGTGATGATAGCGATGGGCCACCATACTATACTAACCTGGACAATCTACATCTACAAACATGTAACGATACTCCCGTGTTCAAACCATTTACTTTAATATATACGTATCAAAATTTTAAACACACTTTTCGGAGAATTTTTCTCCTGACGAGTGTGGCAAGTAAAACAACTGCCATACGAAACAGTTCTGTAGGGAATAAATTTCGATGAAGTAATTCGTGGTTTATTTTATTTTCAATTATATATATATATATATATATAGGAAGTTTATAATTTATGATTTTCCGTATAAAACAGTGCTATGCCCGAGAGCAGAGCGTAAATATTGATAAGAAGAAATACACAAAACTACAATTTCATCCCAACAAGCCTGTTTCGTGATTGCTCACTCTGGTAGATTTAATGAATAAAATACTTAAATGCTTAAAATATATATACAAGATGACGGAAGTTAGTGTATTAATCAAGGTGTATAGTTTCAAGTTAGATGACGGAAGTTAGAGTATTAATTAAGGTGTATGGTTACAAATTACATAGGAGTTATTTTAATTACATAGAAATCACAATGCCTCTTTCCGCCACAAAAAACTAAGAAACTCGACCGAGCTCAGTAAGCACATTTGGACCCTTAAAGACAGCAATATCGACCACGACATCTCATGGAACATCATCACACACAGCAAACCATACAACAGCACCAGTAAAAGATGCAACCTTTGCCTCAAAGAAAAATTCTTCATCCTCTACCAACCATCCAAATCATCCCTCAATAAACCCAACGAACTTGTTTCCTCTTGTCGCCATAGATCCAAAACACTCCTATGTAATTTGTAACCATACACCTTAATTAATACTCTAACTTCCGTCATCTTGTATATATATTTTAAGCATTTAAGTATTTTATTCATTAAATCCCCTGAAGAGTGAGCAATCACGAAACAGGCTTGTCGGGATGAAATTGTAGTTTTGTATATTCTTCTTCTTATCAATATATATATATATATATATATATAGGATTTTGTGATAAAAGCTATCGCAAACAAAATCCTTTTGGATGAGTGCTCAATGCACCAGAGCAGTATAATTGAAAATAAAATAAACCACGAATGCTTCATAGAATTTATTCCCTACAGAACTGTTTCGTATGGCAGTTGTTTAACTTGCCACACTCGTCAGGAGAACTCCTCAGTTCTGTAGGGAATAAATTCCACAGTTCTGTGAATAAATTCCTATGAAGTTCCGTAGTTTATTTTATTTATATATATATATATATGATAATGAAAAGATCTCTGGATATGCCTGGGTTACCAATTTTCAAATATATATATATATATATATATATGATAATGTTAATAATGATAATGATAATGATAATTATAATGATAATTATATGATAATGATAATTATATATATATATATATGATAATGAAAAGATTCTGATATATATATATATATATATGATAATGATAATGATAATGATAATGATAATGATAATTATAATGATAATTATATGATAATGATAATTATATATATATATATATGATAATGAAAAGATTCTCTGGATATGCCTGGGTTACCAATTTTCAAATATATATGTATATATATAAGTAGTATAGTACATGGGGGTTCTAGAGCAAAAAAAGTATACTTTTTTATCTATAACTCCCCATGTGCTATACTACATATAACTTTGGGTAAAAACTATCTTTATAAAAGCGTAAAATAAGACCATGGTTCAAAAGTCATTGTTTTAAAGGGGGTAAAAATCTCAAGTTTCAAAATTTGGAATCTATATGTTTTAAAAAACGGTCTTTACAAACAAATGTTAACAAGCATCGTTTCGGAGGGCATCCGGCAGCGCAAATTTTAGCGTAGCTAAACAGAGAATATGCCGAATCAAAGTGACGGCGGGGTAAATTTTCACAAAGTGAAAATTCGGAACGTCCCCATACATTCGTAGAATATTCGAAGAATATTCGAGAATAACAGAGGCTTAAGAAATGCTCTTCAAAAAAACCGTCTTTAATAATCAAGTGTTATTAAAATATCAGTAGCATGTATAATAATATAATGTTTTTGAAATATATAGGTGCGTTTAAATTTTACAAACGGTCTTTACAAACAAATGTTAAGAAAGCATTGGTTTTGAGGGGGCTCGGCAGCGCAGATCACGAAGTGATCGAGCAGGGGATGGAGCCCCCGATAATTCTTAGGCGACGATGGGAAAATTTTTCACGAAGTGAAAAATTGGGGTCGCCTCCCGTGGATTCGTAGAATATTCGAAGAATATTCGAGAATAACAGAGGCTTAAGAAATGCTCTTCAAAAAACCGTCTTTAATAATCAAGTGTTATTAAAATATCAGTAGCAGCGCATGTATAATAACAATGTTGTACAAAATATGGA